GCTGTGTTCATCCAGCTCTGCACCTTGTTATCTCAGATTCTCCAGCATCTGCAGTTCCTACTATCACTAGAAATGTCACTGTTTATTGCCTGTTGCTCATTGTTCTTGAGAAGATGGTGATGAGCCATCTTCTTAAACCACTGCAACCTGTAGTAGGGGATCTCCCAGAACTCTATTGAGAGTTCCAGGATTTTAACTTGGCAACAGTTAATTGTAGACTAAGAGAAAGCTTCGTCTCCTTTTTTCTTTTAAAAAAAAATCAATTCATTGCCCAGACTTATTGCCCATCAGTTGCCATGAAAAGTTGATGGTGAACCTTCTTGAACTGTTAGCAATTTGGTACAGCTGAATGGTTTGCTTAGCCAGAAGACAGTTCCTAAGTTAGCCATAGTGTTTTGGGACTGGAGTGTCATGTGAATGAGGACTAACTAATGACACTGGTTTCCTCCCCTGGTGTACATGTGAGTTTAGTGGCAATGCAACACCTTTATAACCACTTTTGGTGGTGCCAGCTTACCTCTAGTGTCTTTCACCGTGAAACTTTTTTTTAATGAAGAATATCATGTTCTTTTTGGGATGTGTAGTACAGATTGATGTATGTGCTTTTTTGGTTTTTAACGATCTGCAAATCTTGTTTTTAAAAAAACCCACAAAGGATGAGAAGTATTTCTTCAGAGATTTTTGTGGTTAAATGTCATGTTGTACTAATAAATTTCCGTGGTCTATTGATGTCTTCTTTTTGCTTCCCATTCTTAGATGAACCTGAAACTCGTGATGCTTGGTGGGCGGAAATCCGACAGGAAATCAAGTCACATGGCAAAGCTCTTGGATGCCATGCAGTGGTTGGATACAGTGAATCAACCAGCATCTGGTGAGTGTAATTTTTCTATTAAATCTTTTGTATGTATCTTAGACATGATACAGGTGAATGCAGTAACATGCAGTATATTTCTTATAGTTTGCTATACATATTTAGAAACATCACAGCAACCAATTTTTTTCACAATGTTATTTGAAATATTAAAATCAAAAACCCAGACTTTCAATGTGTATATATAGTTTTTGTATATATGAATATGCATCTAATAGATAGGCAAGTAATGGCACATTCACAAATGTTGTGCCTTTGTATAACATTAGTTGCCTATTAAAAGAGAAGACAGGTTTGGTTGGGAGGGGAGGCAGGGTATTGTTTTATTTAAAATACTCTTCCTTTTTCAATTTTCTGTTGAAGAAAATCTGTATGGTAAGACATAGTCAGTGTCTTTTTACCATTGCTACCCTTGTTAAGGCGGATGTTTTGACTGTTGCATCCCTTGAACTTCCAATTTGGTTTCATTCTGTGTTGGGCCTGAGACAGAGTATATAAGCATATAAAAACAGCGAACAGAATCAAAAACCGGTTAAGGCAAAATAAATGGCTCTTTACTTAAATGCATGTCGTATTAGAAGCAAAAGAAATGAATTAATGACATGATCTTGTAGCTCTTACAGGGGCTATTGTTACAAGGAGATCAAAGCTGAGAACTAAATATTCAGAGTAGTGAGACTTTTTGAAGGGATAGGCAAGGAGGAAAGGATGGTGAAGTTGCTTTGTTAGTACGAGATGGAATAAGTTCAGTTGCAAGAAATGCAATTGGAAGGGATGATCTTGAATCGATATGTGTGAAGGTGAGAAATAAGTGGAAGAAGACATGGCAGAAGTTGTCCATCAGCCCTCTAACAGCAGCTGTTCTGTAGGTTAGAGAATGAATCAAGAGGTAATAGGTAATGCAAAAGAAAAAGGCCATACGTTAATCATGGTGACTTGGGGCAGATTGAAAAAGTCAACTTCACAGAAGTAGCCATGAGGAAGAATGTTGTGGATCTGGCCAGTGACAAGGCTATTTTGGATTAATGATGTGTTATGAGGTCAATTTAAATAATGATCTTGAAGTAAAAGATCTTCTCAGGAGCAGTGACCATAGATGGTAGAATTTGGCATTCACTTCGAGAGTGAGAAACTTAGGTTGGAAACAACCATGCTGAACTTAAGTAAGGATAATTATGTATGCATGAGGGTGCAGTTGGCTGGAGCGGACTGAGAAAGGAGTTTAGCAAAAGAAAAAGCCAAACATTTAAGAACATAGTTCATGTCTCTCAGCAAAGATATATCCCTGTGAGGAAGATGAATTTGAGGAAGATGATGAACCAACCAGGGAGGTTAAGCATAATATCAAAGTGAAAGAAAAAAACGCAACATATCCAAGATTAATCGTAAACCATTGGATTTGGAAAGTTTTAAAAGCCAGCAAAAGGTGACCAAAAAAAAAGGGAGAACATAACCTGGGGTTAAACTACCAGGCAATATGAAATTGGATACTAAATGCTTCTCTAAATAAATAAATTGGAAAAGAGAGGCCAAAGTAAACATAGACCCTATAGAGAATGAGGCTGGGGAAATAATGGGGAGCCAGGAAATACGGAGCTGTTCATTAAATACTTTGCATCAGTTTTCACCATAAAGGACACGAACAGCATTCTGACAGTACAAAATAATTGAAGGACTGAAAGGGGAGGGAATAAAAATAAAAATTATTAGGGAAACTAATGAGGCTAAAGGCTGACAAGTTCCCTGGATCTGATGAGTTTAATTCTAGGATATTAAAAAAAAAAATCGTTTCAGAGTTAGTGAATGGTAGTAAATGATGAAAAAGTCCCAGACAATTAGAAAAGTGCTAACTTAACTCCCCTACTCAAAAAAAGGACGGAGACAAAAGTCAGGTGTCTGTAGGCCAGTTAGCTGAACATCTATGATTGGCAAAATGTTAGTATCTATTATAAAGGATGTAATAGCAGAGCATTTAGAAATACATAATATAATCAAACAGGGACAACATGCCTTCATGAAAGGGGAAACCATGCCTAACAAATTTATTAGAATTCTTTGAGGAGGTAACAAGCAGGATAGATAATGGGGAAGCAGTAGGGGAACCAGTTTTCTGATGAAGGGTCTATGCCCGAAACGTCAGCCTTCCTGCTCCTATGATGCTGCTTGGCCTGCTGTGTTCATCCAGCTCTACACCTTGTTACCTCAGATTCTCCAGCATCTGCAGTTCCTACTATCTCTGATACAAGAGGAACCAGTTTTACAGTTTTACAGATCTCTGAAGAGCCAGTTGTTTGTAATGATTTGAAACTGAATCATTACAATTTGACTGCGGAAGAAATGGTATCAACTGCAGATTTCCACAAGGGTGCATAACGAAAGGATTATACAGTGCAAAGAGCCATTTTAGCAATGAGTTGCTTTGTGAGATCTCCTTTTAATAGTAAAATATTTCAAGCCGCATAGCAAGTGTGCTATCAAGCAAAGTGTTAATAACAAGGCATCAAAAACTTGGTCAGCGAGGTAGATTTTAAGCGAGCTCTTTTAAGGAGGTGAGAGATATAGAGAGACAGAAAGCTTTCCAGAGATTTTAGATCTGGGCAACTTGCTGCTAATAGTGGAGTAATTACAATCAGTGATGCATATGAAGAATTAGAAGCTTACAGAATTCTGGAGGATTCTAGGGCCTGTGGAGGTTATAGAAGTGGGGAGGGGAGAAGCCATAGAAAGATTTGAAAACCAGAATATAAATTTTAAATTTAAAGTATTGTCAAAATGGGAGCCATTGTAAATCGAGGAGCACAAGGAGTATGGTTGCAAATAAACATAAAAGGAAGTTTTTATTGGGTTCAAGTTATGGCAATTGAAAGATAAAAAAGATGACCTGGAGAGCATTGTCATCGATAGACTTGGCTATGCCAATGACATAGATGATGGTTTCCACACAGAATTAGCAAAGGCAGTGGTGGAGACCAGCAGTGTTATGGAGTTGGAGGTTGGTGGTCTTAGATCTGATGGTTTTGAGCTCTGATGTTTACACCAAGGTGAAATATAAATCCGATGTGAAATGCGAATCCAAGATTCAACCACAGAGTGACCATGGAAAAAAGATGGTGCCAAAGCTAACGAATGGCATTACTATAGCTGAGTCCCCCACCAGCCTTCAAATCCCAGAATATAGCCTTAACTAAAGGTTTATCTGGATCAGCTACATAAATACATGGGCTAAAAATGCAGATCAAATACTGCACGTTTGCAGTAAGTCACCTCCTGACTTCCAAAACATTTTTCCTCCTGTCTACATGGCACAAGTCAGAAGTGTCTTGTCTCTTCATTTTTTTGGGTGAATGCAACTTTTTCAATATCATCTGTGACAAAGCAGCCTGCTTGATTTGATACTCTATCCATCACATTAAATATTCACTCTGTCCACAGTGGCATATATTGGAGCACTATGTGCCATCTAAAGTTCAGCTAAAGCAATTCACCAGATTTGTTCAACAACACCTTCTAAACCTGTGACCTCTACCATCTGGGAGGGCAGGGGCAACAGACCCATCGTTGGAAATACATCGCTGGTCCTTCATTATTTCTGTGTCCTGAAATGTAACTGAAACTCCCTCTCTAACAGCACATGGACTGCAATTGTTTAGGAAGGCAGCTTGCAACTATCTTCTCAAAGGCATTGACGGTTGGGCAATCAATGCTGGCTTTGCTCAGGATGCTTACGACTCATGAACAAATAAGAAAACAATTATTTCTACTCAACCAGTACTGGAGGTTGGACAAGCTGTCTGATAAAGCAGATAAGCAGAGGGGTTGAGAGATGTGTTGGTGTGGGAGAGCGAATGTCATCAGCTTACATGTGAAACCTGCCTTAGTTTTCGTTTCAGGTCACTGAGTGACAGCATTATGATGGGAAAGAAAGAGAAGGCAAAGGTTTAAGTCCTTTAGGAGAGCCCTCAGAAGTAATGGTGCAAGAGCATAAAGAGAAACCAGTGGAATTAGTTCCTTTAGCTATGTCTAGATAGATATAAATGAAGCTGGTGAAGTGCGGACCCATCCCCGGCTGTAAGATGGAGAAAAGGTGTTAGAGGAAAATGGTTGGTCAACTTAAATTTTACTGGCGAGTAAAGAGCAGTATGAAAGGTCAGTTTATCATGGCCACGGTCACACAGGATATAGTTTGTGACTCTGTCCAGGAGTCATTTCAATACTGTACTGTAGAAAGATGGGAACCTTGTTAGTGGGGATCACACATGGAATTGCAGAAATGTTGGCACAGGTTTGTGACAGGTTTTATTGACTTTGGAAGGGAAGGGGAGGCTGTGCATGGGGCAGCATTTATTGCCTGTCCTTAGTTGCCATTGAGAAGTTGGAGATGAGCCTTCTTGAACCACTGCAGTCCACATGATATGGGTTGATTCACAAAGCCAGTAGGGAGGGAATTCCAATATGTTGACAGTGAAGGAACAGCAGTATATTTCAAAGTCAGGATCGTGAGTGGCTTGGAGGTAAACTTGCAGGTGCTAGTGTTCCCATGAAACTGCTGCCTTGTCCTTCTAGATGGAAGTGGTCATGGGTTTGGAAGGTGCTGTCTTAAGGATCTTTGGAGAATTTCTGCAGTGCATCTTGTAGATAATAATGAGCAGTACTGATGGAGGGAGCGAATGTTTGTGGAGGTGGTGCCCATCAAGTGGGCTACTTTGTCCTGGATGGTGTCAAGCTTTTTGAGTGTTGTTGGAACTGGGGAATATTCTATCACACTCCTGACTTGTGCCTTGTAGATGGTGTACAGGCTTTGGAGAGTCAGGAGGTGACTTACTTGCTGCAATACTCCTACCCTCTGATCTGATCTTGTAGCCACTGTATTATGTAGTGAGTCCAGTTAAGTTTCTGGTCAGTGTAACCCAAGGTTGTTGATAGTGGGGGATTCAGTGACGGTAACACCATTGAATGTCAAAGGGCAGTGGTTAGATTGTCTCGTATTGGAGGTGGCCACTGCCTGGCATTTGTGTAGTGTGAATGTTACTTGCCACTTGTCAGCCTAAAATTGGATATTATTCAGATCTTGTTGCGTTTAAAAATGGACTGCTTCAGTATATAAGGAGTCACAAATAGTGCTGAATATTGTGCAGTCATCAGTGAACACCCCCACTCTGACCTAACGATGGAGGAACGATCATTGATGAAGCAGCTGAAGGTGGCTGGACCGAGGACACTACCCTGAGGAACCCCTGCAGCCATGTCCTGGAGCTGAGATGACTGACCTCCAACAACCATAACCGTCTTCCTATGTGCCAGTTATAACTCCAGTGGAGAGTTTGTCCCCTGATACCCATTGATTCCAATTTTGCTAGGGCTCCTGAATGTCACACTTGGTTGAAGGTGGCCTTCATGACAAGGGCTGTCATACTAACCTCACCTCTGGAATTCAGTTCTTTCACCCATGTTTGAACCAAGGCTATAATGAGATCAGGAGCTGAGTGGCCCTGGTAGAACCTAAACTGGGCATCATTGAGCAGTGCTGCTTGATAGCACCTTTGCCAACACCTTCCATCTCTTTACTGATGATCGAGAGTAGACTATTGAGGGAGTAATTGGCTGGGTTTGATTTGTCCTGCTTTTTGTGTAGAGGACATACCTAGGCAATTTTCTGATTAGATGGGTAGATGCCAGTATTGTAACTGTATGTGAACAGCTTGGCTAGGGGAGCAGCAAGCTATGGAGCACCAGTCTTCAGTACTATTGCCAGAAAGTCGTCAGGACCCATAGACTTTGCAGTATCCAGTGTCTCAAACCATTTCTTGAAATCAGATGAAATGAATTGAATTAGCTGACGACTGGCATCTGTGATGCTTGGGACCAGTGGAGGAGGCAGAGATGGATCATCCACTTGCTTCTCTGGCTGAGGATTGCTGCGAATGCTTCATCCTTTTTAAAAAAAAAAACAAAAGAACTGCGGATGCTGTAAATCAGGAACAAAAACAAAGTTGCTGGAAAAGCTCAGCAGGTCTGACAGCATCTGTGGAGGAGAAAACAGAGTTAACGTTTTGGGTCTGGTGACCCTTCCTCAGAACTGATGGTGGCTGGGAAAACGTCAGTTTATATGCAGAAAAGAGGGAGGTGGGTGGGGTAGGGAGTAAACGATGGGATAGAGCCCAAAGAGAGAGAAAGACCGTTGGACAGACAAAGGAGTTGCTAACGATCAGGCTGGGAGGGTGAGTAGTTGTTAATGGGGACTGTTAGTGACTAGCCACAGGGGGTGTGTAATGGCAGGCTATGTGGTAACAAGGCCTGGTGTGTGGGGTGGGGGCTGGGACATGGGAGAGTTTAGGCCCTAAAGTTATTGAACTCAATATTGAGTCCGGAGGGCTGTAGGGTCCCCAAGCGGAAAATGAGGTGTTGTTCCTCCAGCTTGCGCTGGGCTTCACTGGAACACTGTAGCAATCCGGAGACAGCGATGTTGGCCAGGGAGCAAGGTGGTGCATTGAAGTGGCAAGCAACAGGTAGTTCAGGGTCTTTTTTTGCAAGCAGAACGTAGATGTTCTGCGAAGCGGTTGCCAAGTCTACGCTTCATTTCCCCAATGTAGAGGAGACCACATTGTGAGCAGCGAATGCAGTAGACTAGATTCTTGGAAGTGCAGGTGAAGTGTTGCTTCACCTGGAAGGTATGTTTGGGCCCTTGGATACTGGCGAGGGAGGAGGTAAATGCGCAGGTGTTGCACCTTCGCCGGTTACAGGGGAAGGTGCTGTAGGGCTGTGGGGAGGTGTTGGGGGTGAAGGAAGTATGGACCAGGGTGTCCCGGAAGGAACGGTCCCTGCGGAAGGCGGACAAGGGAAGGGAGGGGAGGGGAATATATGTCTGGTGGTGGCATCTTGCTGGAGGTGGCGGCATCCTTCATCCTTAACTTTTCTGCTCATGTATTGAGGTCTTCCGTCATTGAGGTGGAAATATTTTTGGAGCCGCCTCCTCCTCCTTCAGTGAGTTGTTTAATTATCCACCAGCATTCATCATTGGATGTGGCAAGACTGCAGAGCTTAGATTTGATCTGTTGGCTGTGGGCCTGCTTAGCTGTCAATCACGCATTTCTAATGCTGTTTGGCATACAAGTAGTCTTGTTTGGTAGCTTTACCAGGTTGACCTCTCCATCTTCAGGTATGCGTGGTGCTGCTCCTGGCATGCCGTCCTGCACTCTCCATTGAACCAGGGATGCCCCTTGACTTGATGATTACATTTGAGTGAGGGATATGTGGAGCCTTGAGGTTGCAGATTGTGCTGGAGTACAATACTGCTACTATCGATGGCTCTCAGCCTCATGAATGCCCAATCATGAGTTGCGCGTTCTGTTCCAAGTCCCGCTTAACCTGGTGATAGTACCACACAACACAATGGAGAGTGTTCTCAATGTGAAGGTAGGAATTTGTCTCCAAATAGACTAGGCTGTGGTCACTCTTACTAATATGGTTATGTACAAGTGTATCTGGCAGATTGGTAAGGATGAGGTCTAGTATGTTTTACCCTCTTGCTGGTCCCCTCGCCATCTACCACAGACTCCGATTAGCAGCAAATCTTTTAGGACCCATCCAGCTTGATCAATAGTCATTGTTAAACCCCACCCAGAACATATTCTGCTCTCTCGCTACCGTCAGTGCTTCTTCCCAGTGGTGGAGTACTTACTTATCAGGTAAGATGGTATGTAGTAACCCGCAGGAGTTTTCCTTGTCCATGTTTAACCTGAAGTCATGAGACTTCATGAGGTCCATAAGCAACTCCCGCCTGATTGCATACCTCTGTGTGCCATCTCTGCTTGGCCAGTCCTGCTGGTGAAACGGGACATATCCAGGGATGGTGACAGTGTTATCTGGGGCATTGTCTGTTAGGCATGATTCCATGAGTATGACTGTGTCAGGCTGTTATCTGACTAGTCCGTGAGACAGTTCACCCAGTTTTAATGCTGGCCTCCAGATGTTAGTAAGGAGGACTTTGCAGGGTTGAGAGGGCTGTTTTTGCCATTGTCTTTGCCAGTGCCTAGGTCGATTCCAGGTGATCTGTCAGATTTCTTTTTTTTGTTGTTGAGAGTTTATAACGATTAATACAACTAAGTATCTTGCTAGGCCATTTCAGAGGGTAGTTATGGGTCTGGAGTCGCATGTAGAGCAGACCAGGCGAGGATGGCAGATTTCCTTCTCTGAAGGACATTAGTGAGTCAGTTGGGTTTTTCTGACAGTTGACAGTGGTTTCATAGTCATCATTAGAGTTATAGAAATGTACAGCGCAGAAACAAACCCTTCTGTCCAATTCATCCATGCCGACCAGCTATCCTCCATTATTCTAGTTCCATTTGCCAGCATTTGACCCATATCTGTCTTAAACCCTTTCCCATTTGTATATGCATCCAGATGCCTTATAAATATTATAATTGTACCCACCTCCTCTGGCAGCTCATTGCATACACACACCATCCTCTGCCTGAAGAGGTTGCCCCTTAGTTCACTTTTAAATCTTGCCCCTCTCACTTTAAACCTATGCCCTCTAGTTTTGGACTCCCACACCCTGGGGAAAAGACCTTAGCTATTCACCTTATCCATACCCTCCATGATTTTATAAACACCTATAAGGTCACCCCTCAGCCTCCGACACTCCAGGAAAATAGCCTCAACCTATTCAGCCTCTCGCTATAGCTCAAACCCTTCTACCCCAGTAACATCCTTGTAAATCTTTTCTGAACCCTTTCAAGTTTCACAACATCTTTCCTGTAGCATTAGATTCTTAAGTCTTTTTTTTTGTATTGAACTCAAATTCCACTATCTGCCCTGGTGGGATTCAAACCTGGGTCCCTGCAACGTTAACTGTGTTTGTTTCTGGATTAATAGTCTAGTGACAATACCACTAAGGCCATCACCTCCCCATATCTTCAGGATGGCAGCAGAGTAGTAGGGTTCTGCTTGGGCTCCTGTGCCCAGGGCTTGTCTCCTGCCTTCTGCTCTTTTTTTTTTTTCCTTTTTTTTCCTTTTTTTTTCTTTTCGTTTTCATTTATTTGAAGCCTTTTGCGTCGGGGTCATCAGGATCAGCATGGCCGTGAGAGTAGGCCACGTGCAGAATTAGAGCAGCGTCCCAGTGGTCTGAGCCAGCAGCAGCAGTAAGTTTGTGACACCTCCCAGCCATCAGGGTCAGTGGCAGCAAGGTCACGACTCCTGCGGGCAATTGGAGGCGGCTGCAGCAGGGATCCAGAGGAAGTTCCCAAGAACGATCCCAGGGAATGAAGGGCTTCTTATATGAGAATGGTTGAGGACTCTGGGTCTGTACTGGATAGAGTTTAGAGAGAAGAGGGAGGATCTCATGGAAACTTACAGAATACTGAGAGGCCAGGATGGAGTGGACATTAAGAAGATGTTTCGACTTGTAGGAGAAATAAGGAGTCAAGGACACAGCTCGAGGGTGAAGGGAATACACTTTAGAACTGAGAAGAGGAAGAATTTTGTCAGTCATAGGGTAGTGAATCTGTGGAACTCATTGCCTCCACAGCCTTCTGCAGCAATGTTATTAAGTGTCTTTATGACAGTGATAGGTTCTTGATTAGTAAGGCAATCCAGAGTTATGTGGAGAAGGCAGGAGAATGGGGTTGAGAAACATATCACCCGTGTTCGAATGGCTGAGCAGGCTTGATGGGCCAAATGGCCTAATTCTGCTCCTGTATGTTGTGGTCTCATATCTAATGGCAATTTTGCGTACTTTTTTCACCATAATTACACCATACATGGTTGGCTATCCTTCTGTGTCTCACCATATAAATCAGTGTTATCAGTATTCTGTATTTGAAACTGAGTTTTTTTTTCTGGGCTTTCCTTTGTTTGACACAACGCCCCAGTAATTTTCTGTTAATTTGTTTTCCACAGTGAAGAAGTCTGTATCTTGTCTGCTTCAGGCACTGCGGCTGTACTGAACCCAAAGATGCTTCAAGACTGCAGTATGGAAGGCTGCAGTGAACACAGGTTGTCAAGGCAGCCTAGCTTCTTTTCCACAGGGTCAGAGAAGGGAGAGTTTGATTTTTTTCTTCAGTGCCAGGATAGTGCTTCTATATTAGGGTAGGTTAAACTATTACAGTGAAGGGGGCAGGTCCAAACAATTCATTTCGTTCTACTAACAAAGTTTGAAATTTGGCATCGATTTGGCAAGAAATTGAAATGCTGTTGTTGTTACCTAACAGCTTGCATCAAGGTAACTCTAAAATACTAACAATATTTAATATTGCTCGCTGATTTGTCCATTCATTACTGGTGAACGTGTCTTGTGTTTGTTGTGATCTTGATCAAAGATTCAGAAAAGTCAAACTGAATTGTGATTTCAATGATGAATTAGCAAAGATCATGCTTTTTATGTAAATAACTAAAATAATGCTTAATTAAGCCCCTTTATTTCTGAATGTCCTACAGTAATAAGTCTATTTATCTTTTTAGCTAATTTATAATAAAGCCAAGTGGAGTTCTAATTTTATTCAGAATCCAATCCTGTTATTACCACTTTGACTAGAATTGTTTTGGATGTATATACTACTGCACAAAGTGTGTTTTATTATTATGGATTGTCATAGATGGGAATGCCTTGTATGTGGGTAAATAAAATTAACAGCTAATCTTTTCTTTTTAACTGCAGGAAGTTAGCAACAAGATGAAGGTGTATTTTTTATTCAAAAGACATGAGAAATGGCTTTATTGACTATTTTTAGAACTTTTAAAGAGCCTCTGCATGCTATTTTCCAAAGATTTACAAAAAAAATGTTCATTTATTTGAAGATTGAAGATTTCACTGGAATGTGTCTCCTTTATGCAGGTTGGATGACACGTCGTCCCAGGGCTGCAGTTTCTGTCATATTCCTTATGATGAGTTAAATATGCCTTTCCCTGCACACCTCACATATTGTTATGTTTGTCGGAAGCAGAAAGTTCCTGATGTTCTCTTCACCACAATTGAACCTCCCTTAGAAGCGGCAGTAACTGGAAAAGGCTGCTTAATTCAGGCTAGGTAATGCCCTCTTAGAGTTCAGATAATTTTGCACTGCCAGTATTTTTGCATTTGATGCAAAGATTAAGGTATGGTGACATCTTATTTTGGTGACCTAGGCTGTGTCGTCAAAAGAAGAAAACTCAGGGTGAGGCCAATGCCACAGCAATAAGCAACCTGCTACCTTTTATGGAGTATGAGCTTCACACTCAGCTGATGAACAAACTTAAACTAAGAGGAATGAATGCACTCTTTGGCCTACGGATTCAGATTACAGTTGGCGAAAATATGTTGATGGGCCTTGCTGTGAGTAAATGTTCCATTGAATCTGACAGAATACAGTGTTAACCCCCTCACAAATCAACATTCGAATGTTACTCACAATTCATTTTTTTTTTACTGTGTTTAAGCTTTGGTTATACTTGTAGGGAGTTTCAGAAACTGAAGTAAAAATCTGTTCAGTGTTTTCATGTCACAAAACTGCAATTTTTATGCCATAGTCTAAAGCAAGCAAGTAGAAAGTCTCCATTGATTCAGGATTGTAAAAAGGTGGGGTAAGTATAAAAGTAAAATGCTAGAAATATGGCAGTTGAACATAAAACAGCAACCTATGTTTATATAGCACCTTTATTATAATGAAACATCCTAAGATGCTTCACAGGAGTTATTATATTTCACTGGCGCAAGTTTTCAGTTCACTGGGAGGTGCGGTGAAGGAGGGGACTTCCGTACGATTAGTGCAAAGAATGATCCACATCCCATAAAAAGGGGGACCTCGCTACAAGCCATGGGCATTCCTATTGCAACACGCTTTTTATTTGGAGAAAGTGAATGGAGACCAAGGAGAAGTTGCTCAATGGAAGAGAAAGTTCAGCTAGCCAGAAGAGCTTGGTGGGTTTATCCTCCATTCAAGGAAGCAGTGGAGGAGATGCAGGGTCATGAGAGTGGAAGGTGGAGGTGTAGCTGGGTTTGAAGGTCTTGCTACACAGGAGTTGATGAGGGCTAGAAAGTGGTGAAAGATATCGAGTTTTGTAAGGCAGGAAGAGACTTGAAAATATGAAGACAAAATGAAGTTGAGTTGGAGCATAAGGCTCCAACGCCTGATGAGATGGAAGAGTTTTTGGGAGATGAGTATGAGAAATGTTTTTACATGAAGGTTGTGGAATACACAACTTGTTATTAACTATTGCAGCAGAAACTGTAACATTGTTCAAGAGTCAGTGCGATAGGAAATAAAAGAATATGGAATAGAGAAAGCAAATGGAGCTAGAGCTACCAATATCAAAAATTAGAGTGTCTAAGTTGAAATACAGTGTGTAAAAAAAAAAAAAAACTCTCAATCTGTAGTAAGTCTAAAATCTGCACAAATGGTCCATCAACATTTCCATTTAAAGTCCCTATTCATATTTATAATTGAAACGACTGTTTTATTTTGTGATTTAATATTTTCCTTTGTGTCTTTGTTCTAGTCTGCAACTGGTGTATATTTGACTGCACTGCCCTCTCCAGGTGGTATACAGATTGCAGGGAAGACTCCCAGTGACTCTTCTTACGAACAGCATATTTCAAATATGCAGAAAAAGATTAATGATATGATCATAAAGAACAGGGAAATCTATGAGATAAATCCTCCAGTAAGTACAAGCATATTTGTGTGAGAGTAAATATTGACCAAAGCAAAATGGCTTTGACTTTGTTGGGAGCATGTTCATTTTCAATGAGATTGCTTTGTACTAATGCAGTGAGGAGAATAATTTTCACAATCACTTATTTAAAGGTGAACATTTGTTTAGGAAATCTGTAATGATAAGAATCTTTAAAAGTGAAGTGAAACAATTACAAGCATTTAATGGAAGTCGAAGATTCCAAGTCTGTAGTTCCATGCAACATTGTTGCTTGAAACTGAAAACCTTTGACATATTCAAGTTCTGAAATATGCAGATGTCTAAGAAGTGAAGCAACAGTAAGAATCGCACCTTCCTGCCCAAGAGGTTACAAGTTCATGCCCTGCAGTTATAGATAATTGTCAGTTTGACCTTTGAACCACGTGAGCCAGAGGAGAAAGTTGTGGGGTTTGTCTCATACCTTAACGTAACATTTGTTGCTTCATGACCATAAAGTTGCGTTGGCACCAATTATGGACGAACGAATGAACCTTTTGACTACCACACCTACCCGAACCCCACCCTACCCAAACCCAGTTGGAGGGGATTCATGTAGGAAGAATGCCGTCTGAGGAGTAAAGAGGGCAACTGGCAGAGAGGAGTGAAGTGATAGCAATTTAAAACTTGAGTCAAAATGTTACACTTTTACACAGTATAAGCTAATTAAAAAGTAGGATCAAAAATAACTTCAAATATGCAAATACAATACAGCTGCAATATGTTGTTTTGGATTATTGTGTTTGTTTAGTAGAAACTGCGTAACTAGATAGTATGCAATTAGCATGCACTACTTGTATGAAGTAACCCACAAAGGGTCATAAAAATCTGGGCTCTTTTGTCATGCACCCCTCTCCCACAAGGCTGTTAATGACGGAAGTCAGTTGAAAATGGAGGTTGATAGATTTTTGTTAGTTTTTGTGAGTATCCAGTGATACTTGGCAAAGATGGATAAATGAAGGTAAAGTGTAGATCAGCCATAATCTAACTGAATAACAAAACAAACACGAGAAGTTGATTTGATCTACTCCTGTTCCTTGTGACTGCCAAGCCACATTTAAGCGTGCTGCAAAAAATTATGTTTCTAATTATAAGAGCAAGTGTTCCCAAAAAGAATAAAGAAAACTACACTTGCTGAAGTATTAATCAAATGTGATCGTTGATATTCTTATGGGGAGGCAGTCACGGTCACTGGACTAGTAATCCAGACCCCTGGGCTAGTGTTATAGGTTTGAATCCCACTATGGCAGTGGTGAAATTTGAATTCAATAAAAATCTGGAATTAAAAGTGCTAGTCTAATGGTGAACATGTTACCATCATCATTTGATGTAAGGACTCATCTGGTTCACCTAAAGACCTTTCAGGAAGAAAATCTGCCTTCCTTGCTTGGTTTGCCTACAGGTGACTCCAGACTCTCAGCAAAGTGGGTGACTTGTAATTGGGATTTGATATGGACAATAAATGCCTAGCTAGTGACTCCAGCATCTCATGAGTGAATTGTTTTAGAAGTTCTTATTTTGGATACATTTATATTTTGTAATGCCATATAAAAGGTATAGAAATAATGGTTGCAAATGTATATATTATCCAGTAGAATAGTTGGAGTAATAAATGGTGGAATGGAAAGATGACTGATTTTAGTTGTAAAAAGCAACATTTTTGTATTCAAGTTTCTACATTTATATGGATTGCACACAGCCAGAAATGTCCCTGTATGGAGATGCATTTCTGTGATGTGACAAGATTTCTGATTGCAGTCTACAAATCATCTTTAAATTTGCAAAAGATTGATGTCGTGTACACTGGACTGAAATTGATGGTTACCAAACTGACATCATTTGTAGAATTCACTATTGATGTACAGTAAGGGAATCAAGTGTTTCCTTGCTGAACCCAATGTTAGAACCTGTCTCCGAGGGCATTTAACACCAGTGAAGGGAGGTTGCTGAGTGTATCTGTATCTGAAAATTGTTTATCAAGCTCATATGTTTTACCTTTTTTTTTCTTCAACATTTATTCCAAGTGGCAACATTTTTTGAAGGTTAGACCACCAAAGCATTGATCAGTCATGCTGTAGATTTTACCTTGGTTCAGTGCAGTTTTCATCTTACACCAACAGTCTGCAGGATAACTACATCTGTGTCCAATAATTTAATGGAAACACCTGAAAGCACCTGTTTCTTAAATCAATTTGGTTTTGCACCAGTTTTAATGTAATGAAACCCACCAGGGTTGTGTCTGAAATAAAAAGAAATTGCTGGAAAAACACAGCAGGCCTGGCAGCTCTGTGGAGAGAAAGCAGACTTCTGAAGGAGGGTCACTGGACCCGAAATGTTCACGCTGCTTTCTCTCCACAGATGCTGCCAGACTTGCTGAGTTTTTCCAGCAATTTCTGTTTTTGTTTCTCATTTCCAGCATCTGCAGTTCTTTTGGTTTTTGTTTGTTTAAAGCTGTGACCAACATTATTTCCCTAATTTTATGCTTATTGTTGATGAGTTAAGTGCTCCCTATAGCTAGCAGGCTTTCATCATTCTCACTTTCAAAACGTAAAATTGCCCCCTTCCTTTCAGATTTATCATAATACAAGTCATCAATTTAAGCACATAATGTGCCGATTACACTGAGACATGCAAAATCCGCAAAGGATGTAGGTCCACAGTACTGCCGCTTTCTTGCCGAACATGCTAAGAACCACAGGTTTCCAAAATCCATTGCAAAATGCTTTTAGTTGTGAAATGGTCAATCCATGGCACCTTCCAAAAATCAGCAACGATATCAATGAAATTGCCAGTGCCAAGTATCTACAAAAAATATTTCTGCAAGGCGTCATGTAAAGTTTGTGGAACTCTGTAAAGATTTTGAAGTAAGCTAAATTAATGTGATCCCTGCAGAAAAATAACACGACCAGCCAAAATTTAACTATTTTAAATATGTTCAAGAGTTGTAGGAAATATGACCCCCGCTAACCTGTTTAGTTGAGTGATCGGGAAAACCATACAAATCAACAAGATCTGAGGTTCATGTAAGGTATTCTAAGTTCTGACTGTGGCTGGGAGGTGAAGTTTGTCTCAAAACCTGTTGCCTAGGGAGGGCAAAGTAGCTAAGGTTCCATTCCTGATTAATTTCCAGTGATCCTGGTGGAAGTCCATGGATTTGGATGTTATTCAAAGGCAGAATCAGGTCAAGAGGTTATGACCTCTTCATTCTTCCAATACCATTTAATGCATTCATAGCCTAGCTTCGCATGAGGTACTGGAGGGCGATTAAAGCCCTTGGAATTGTACCCCTGGAGTACGTAAGAGCTTTCGGGGAGCAGAGGAGGAAATTATTAGTGAAATATTTTCATAGCAACCTTTATTTCCTGTCCGATACACTTTTGACAATAGGAGATCCTAGAGGAGCTGTTTGGATCCCCAATCCCAGAATCAAGGCAGCGTTCCAGGCTCTTTAGGTCCCAGTCAGAAAGTTCAGATGATGTTTCAGAACTGGATCTTTCACATGGAAAAAAGGATGCCTTTGTATTAGAGGTAAGGAAAACTTTATTAGCTAGAAATAATGGCTTTCCTTCAGAGTATAATGATAATCATCTGCAGATTTTTAAAATTGAACTATTCCACTGAACGAAATCAATACCCTAAAAACACCGCACCATGTATTTCCCCAAGATGAGATTTTAATAACCCTGGCCCTTAATACTAAAGCACTATATTCCATTAATCAGAAGTAGAAGAATACAGCTGTCGATTTTATGGACCCCCTCGATCCTATTCTACTACTCAGTAATGTCATGGCCAATATTCCACATTAATGTTACAATGCTGCATGTCCCCCATATCCTTTGATTACCTGAGAAACTAAAAGAGTGTTTATCTCATCCTTAAATATTCCCACGAGCAGACTGCCTCTACCATCTGGGCAGGATAATTCAACAGATTTTCAGTCTTGTGAATGAAGACACTTCTCCTTCTCTCATTCCTAAATGGTTGACTCCTTATCCTAGACTGTGCCTCCCTGACTGTCCCTTCATAGCTTTGGATGTTTCATTTGAAATCATCTCTCATTCATCTAAATTCCAGAGAGTACAGGCTCATTCTACTGAGCCTCCAGTGTCCAGGCAACGCTGTTACTCCAGGATCCAACCTGGTGAACTTTCCTGCACAACCTTCAAGTTGTTGTATCCTCCTAGAAATATGGAGACTAAAAGTGCTCACAGTTGTCTAAATGTGGTCTCACCAGCAGCCTATACAATTGTAGTAGGCTTTATTTAAGTTCTTACATTCCAATCGCTTTTTGATTCCAGTGTCATTTGTCTTCCTAATTGCCTGCTAACCTTTTTTGTGAATATAACAGTATCTCCCTAAGCAGCAACATTTAAAAGTTTCATGTATTTTAAAAATGTTCTGCTTTTTGTTACAATCAGATGAGGAGGGATCCCCTTTTATCCAACTCCTCAGTTGACTGCAGTAGGTATCGTTTTAACAAAAAGGAGATACTTGCTAATTCAGTGGGTGTTAACTGTTTATGGGCTGTAATCATACAAGACACAATTAGATTGTTTTTCTTGATTTTTTTTTTTAGAAAGAAAAGAGGATCATTTTATTGTATTTAACGTAGTTTGAGTAGATCTGATCTTCTCTCCCTCTATGGCACGTGTGCGCGCACATGCAAACATGAACAAATAGATTGCTGATAGTTGGAGGATAAATTAAGCAATTCAGAGTCCAGTAAAATTAAGATTATGTGGTACTCGAAGGTAGGTGGCTTGGCTGACTTCACACTGAACTTGGTAGTCCTACTGCTTTCAACACTGAGGCGCTTTTTTAAAATGATTCAAATGATTTATCTTTCATCTGGAGACAGTAACTACTAGATATATTTTTGAAATAATTCAATCAATATAGCATCTGACTGGTAAAAATCATAGGACGGGGTTCAAAACTAATAAGTTTGCTTGAGAGAGAAAGGGAACCCACTCGAGGGCTTGCTTCTTCAATACTCCAGTTGCTTGTCCCATTCTGCAGAAGAAACAGTTGCATAAACAATTGGTTGGCTTGACATGACCAAATCGTTCTAACTGACCAGTAACCCAAATATGTAATGGCTGGTATATTCCAATTGCCTGGTTTACATGGTAACATTAGGACTGAACATCTTGCTTTTGTGGATATTTTCCTCATCAACCTGTTCAGGGATGTTAATACACACTTGTAGAGCGGATGAGACTTGAACCGAGGTCGCCTGGTTCAGAGATAGGGATACTACCATTGCGCCGCAAGAGCTACGATGTTCTTTTTGTAACCAAAAACCCACTGCCCTAGTGTTATGCCTAATGATTTGTCTCCACCCTGTTAAATATTCAGGTGATTGCCCAGATGCTTCACTAATGGCATGGAATTAGTCCTGATTCATAATCCATCAGCGCCATTGTTCTCTGTCCAGCTTTTCATATAAGTTGCCTGCATTTCAATCTTCTTGAAATGTGGAATTAACATTGATGCGAATGTGCAGCCACCTTTGCAATCCCAAATGACTGGAATGTGGCCTTTAGTTTGACTAAAAATTTCCAGTGGGGTTTTCAAGTCAGTTGACATAATCATTTTAATATCTCCACATCACACAACTTTGTTTAAAAAAAATCATACATTCATGTTCAAACAATCACTTGTCAATCTCACACTGCTGTAGCCCTGCTCTAAGTTCAAGTTTCTCATCACCCATATGACATAGTTTTAACTGAGCCTCTTTTGATATTGGGGTCCGAGTTAGGAAGATGCTATTTTGAAAACCAGCCCCCTCTGATTTATTTTTCCTTCTAAATCCCTGTTGCGTATCGTCTGGGAGTTTGGTCTTTAACATCTGGTGTTGGCACTCTGAATATTTTAATGTCGACACTCATGCAATTTTCTTTCTCCATTTTGGGCTTAATGGGAATTCACATTTAATACTCGAGTTTTTCAAGGAGCTTGAATTTCACAGGCTACTGTGGACAGAGCTTTTCCTTCAATCCCTAACACTTACTGTGCAGAGTTTTGTTGCTGCATGGTTGTATTGCTTCTAAAAACTTTAGCCCTTTTAATGACTATGTCTAAAGCCCAAGGTTTAAAAGTTCAGATTTCAGCACATTGCTAAATATTATTTCTCAGGTCAATGGATTGTAAGTTGGTCATGAAGCCAAGTGTGTTCTCCTCCTACAGCTTGTATTCAGTGTGCTTTGAAACTGAATGACTGACTAGTTTTGGTTGGATTTAAATTTTGAACCTAATGATTTGATCCTTCAGTGGCCAATTCCACACTGACTGCTTGTGTTTCCCTTAGAGTTGACAAGCACTGTTCGTCACGGGACACATCTTTCCTTAGCCCTTTACATTGAGAGAGGTCTGACTGGGAGAAAGCCTATCTCTCTGGAACACATGGCAATTGCAACAAATGGCAGTCTGCTGCATTCTATTACGGCACTTCAGTTAAGCGAGGCATCTCACTCTCTCTTTCTGCTCGCTTGTTTAGGAACTTCCTTAGTCTATATTTAAGTTCTGGAAGATTTGTTTTTGCCAGCTACACTTCAGTTGCATTTCCAATTGTTTTTATCTCAGTATGTTTGCTTTCCCCTGGCCTTGTCTTTGTAGAGGTTCTATCCTAGCCTCCTTAGCATCTGCTGGCTCCATCTTGTCTTCCTTAAATTTCACAGGCTCCATTGCCTTCTGTAGATGTTTTGGAGCCCACGCAACCCTCTGGACCTATGCAGAAGTTTGCTTGGTTTCCCAGAGTCCAAGAACTGCTTTGGATCCATTGAGAATGGCACCACACTACCAGCCACATAATTAATAAACAGTCCACCATCGTATAGGCAAATTTGAAATCACGCTCCCCATTATTACCAGCCCCGTCATTGGCTTGTTCTGCAGGTATATCTTTATTGCTAAAAACGTATACGCATTGTTCAGTGAGTCTTTTAACCAGTATTCATTCTGCTTTCAGCAATGGTTGCAAACAACTAGTGTCTCTTAAGATTGTTGATCTCCTTTCCTGTTTTTTTATAGAAAATTAGGAGTCATTTATTCTCCTTTTGATCAAAATCCTGTTTAGGTACTCTGATGCTTGACTATGTTGGAATACAGGCTTATGATGTTCATAACCAGAAACACTGTCTTGACCTCCAAGCCTTCTTGTGGGTCCTTTGACATGCCAACAGCTCTCCCTCATGTATCTACATTTGCTATGATGAAAACACAGTGGGCATTCCCCTATTCATTTAACTATTTTGATACCTTTGAAAAGTTGGGGATTGATGTGACTTCCCTTTATTACACCTCTTTCTCTTAAGTCTGTCTTAATTTCATCAACTAAGTCCCCTTTTGGTCCGGACCCTGTGAAAATTACCAAATCCCAATTTTCTTTGGAGTTACACGTCTGAGAGTTGATTCATAAATGTCTACTATGGTGGACTGCCTGTCTGACTTTGGAGACTCTTTGTTCTTCACATGAGACTTTAAGGAAAAATCGGGAGTTTTTGAACTCCTCAAGGACATTCACATCTCTGAGGTTTCCATTGCTGGGATACATCTCAAATGCCCATTTCCACCACTCAAAAGGAATTTGTTTAACTCATTCACATTCACTGTAAGCGTTAAAGGCAGCTTTCAGGTAATTCAGAATTTTGGCAGTATGCTTCTGATCGGCTTGTATGAATTCATGATAGCCTTTATAGTCATCTCATATTTTGTTGAACTTGTTATGGATAATAAGTAATTAACCTAATGGGCTTTTCCTGTTAATCTGCTTTGTCATGGAAAGATCCAATTTCCTAGTGTTCCCCTTTGGTTGCTTTGCAATTGAACCAAAATGCCCCAGGTTCCCCTCAACAAACTTTGATATCTTTTGAGATAACTTTAAATTCGACATTTAGTCCTTAGGTGGAGTTGTTTTCCTAACTGGATGCATCCTTACTAAGTACAATGGACCATTCCTGATCAGTTCAAGCTGTTGTAAATCCATGTCTTACTTTTCCTCTGGATAGCTCATTCTTTCTTCTCTTGTTCCAATCTGTCTTTCTCTTTTGCAGTGAATTCTCCTTTTCTGTCTCTCTCTATCCTTTTACATTTCTCTTCTATCTTTATTCTTTTGCTCAGGTCTCTGCAGTTCCAGTGATTTCTTTGCTGATGCAGCTTACCATTTCAGATTTCATACCAGCCTCCTTTTCATCAGGTTCAGTTGCAAATTAGATGATCACATGTTTTACAATTTTTTATTTTGGTTTCCTAGCTTTTGGATAGCTATGTATTTCTAAATGCCTGGCTACATTCCTTAATTCTTCAATGGATAAAGCTTTTAAAACTGTATTAAGTTATTTCCTTCTCTTCTGGAAAACTACTGACTTCAAATATGGACATTTTAAGTCCTCAAGCATTGCATACTCCAAGAAAACCTATATAAAAATTTTAAATTACTACTAGGGATCATCTGATTTTTCTGCTGTGTTGATCACGTGGATGCAGAGCCCCCAGATTTGTGTTAGGTCACATGAGCCAAT